GGACGGCCAGAAGTGGACACAGTACTCCAGGGCAGTGTAGAGGGGAAGGAGAACCTCCCTCGCCCTGCTGCCCACACTCCTCTTGATGCATCCCAGAATGCCACTGGCCTTCTGGGCAGCCAGGGCACGCTGCTGGCTCATGGTCACCCTGTCGTCCCCCAGCACTCCCCGTCCCTCTCCGCAGAGCTGCTCTCCAGCAGCTCAGCCCCAGCCTGTACTGGTGCCTGGGGTTGTTCCTCCCCAGGCGCAGGACCCTGCCCTTGCCCTTGTTGAACCTCATCAGGTTCCTCTCTGCCCAACTCTCCAGCCTGTCCAGGTCTCGCTGGATGGCAGCGTTGAAGAGCGCTGGGCTCTTGTGGACTTGCCAAGCATTTCCAACATCCTCCCGCTGAGGAGCCTGAGGAAAAGGGACTATTGTGCTTTCTAGGGAAGACCAGTTGGGATACGGCAGAAGCAGCGGAGAGGTTTGCCTTCGGACTTCTCCAAGGGCCTCCGAATTCTCACCTTCACAAAAACATGAAACCAGCAAGCTGCCAGAGCAGGTGAAAGGCAAGATCCCAGTCCTGCATCTGCACGGCACGAGACAGCACCAGACGCTTCAATGCCACGGGAGCCTCATCCATCAGTGTGCCACCCTCTAACAGGAGGGGGGTGGTGGTGGAAAAGTCAATCTATTGACTAACTTCAATCGAACGTGAAAAAGAGACGTACTGACTAATTAACACAGTACCACAGTCCCCACGACACGCAGCGAAAGGGATCACGGGGGACACGGAGGGCCTGGATGATTACGATGGAGCTGAAGTAATAAGGTATTATGTGAACCGAGGATGTGAATATATTCGAGATCAAGTTTTATTGGTCCCCTAGTGAATACAACAATGCATTTAATCTCGTTATATTTTCATTCTCAATAGCAGCTTCTAAGTAAGAGCTGGTCTAATGATTCCCCCCCTTCATCTGTTTCCAACTTGCCATTTTTCCATTTCACAGAATGTTTCCTCATTCTGCTGCTAAATTAATAAACCCGAGTTGTCAATACAACATAAACCAGACAAACTGAGCTACAATATTATTTCAATCTAAAAAAAAATAGACCATATGGCATGGTTTAACCTGGCAGCCGGCAAGTAAGCCCCAGCCAGCCGCTCGCTCACCCCTCCTCTACCTCACAGTGGGATGGGGAGGAGAAATGGGCAGAAGGGGAAACTCATGGGTCGAGATAAAGACAGCTTAACAGGACAGCAAAGGAAAAACTACTCCTACTACTACTAATAATAATTATAATAATGAATATACAAAACAAACTATATACAGGACAATTGTCTTGCCACCTGATGACCAATTCGCAGCCAGTCCCCGATCGCAATCGCGCAACTCATGGATTTAGCGAATATCACAAGACTCCCAAAAAAGACCAAACTCCCAGAAAAGTTCAAACTCTCGGACAAGAGAGGATCTGAGTTCACGGGAAAGAGCAGGGCAGATTCCTGCCCCCAGGCCAGCCCCCATCCACAGCCTGCCCATGCCGGCCATGGTATGGAGCGTTTCTGTTGGCCAGCTGGGCTCTCTGCCTGACCCTGCTCCCTCCAGGCTCCTCCACCCCTGCTCATCAGCTGGATGGGGACAACTAGAAGTCCTTGATTTCACAGCAACAACTGACAACGTCAGTGTTACCAACACTCTTCTCATCCTAAATCCAAAACACTGCGACTACTGGGAGGAAAAATCACTCTGTCCCAGCCAAAACCAGGACACCATATTTTATCACACTCCCAATTTAATTTCAGCAGAAACCAAACCAGCTCCCACAACAACGTCAGCATTTTTTGTCCACAAGTGGACAACGAAGCCAGGAACTCGCCGACTCTGGCCCATTAAAAAGACCGTTAGCTTAAGCATCTAGATGGCAAGAGGCCTGCCTCTCGCCTCCCTCTCCCATGAGCATTACTCTGCGTCTGTAGATTGAATCGTGTTTTATTACCTGGAGATCCACGCAGCTGGATTAGATGCTTCCCACCATCATGGTCTTCTGCAAATCCTGCCGGTTTACCGTGCGCTTCTGCTCTTTTCCAAACCGCACCCCTAGTTCTCTTCTCCCAAGATGAGAACTCCAGCTCCTGCACGCTTTACGTTGCTGCATCCTAGTTTTGATTACGATACCCCAAACTTCTCAGCTGCTTCAGCAGCAGCCTACACAAGACCTTCCGAAATATTTTCGGCTAACAACTGGTCAGGTCTTCTTTGGGAATGGTTTTTGGTCAAATAGTTGACAAACGCCCTTCTCCTTCACTGTGGTCTTGTTACCCCGTGTCGGGTGGTGCTACTCTCTATTTTAAATGATGATCTCAACAACGTTGAGCAAGTACAATAAAGCCTTCAATTCCAACTCCCACAAGCATCTTCACAGCAAAACCACAACATTTGGTAGTCCCAGTGCCTTCCAACAGTAAAATGGATTAAAGGTGAGACTGCGACCGCTGTTAGCCACCCAGTCACTCAGCAGCGGGGCTGTCAGTTGTGCCATTAATCACGAACATGAGGAGGACGGGGCCAGACTCTTTCCAGTGGTGCCCAGCGACAGGACAAGGGGCAACGGGCACAAACTGAAGCCGAGGAAGCTCCAGCTGAACCCGAGGAAGAACTTCTTCCCTCTGAGGGTGACGGAGCCCTGGCCCAGGCTGCCCAGAGGGGCTGGGGAGTCTCCTTCTCTGGAGATATTCAAGCCCCGCCTGGCCGTGGTGCTGTGCAGCCTGCTGTGGGTGACCCTGCTTCAGCGGGGGGTTGGGCTGGGTGACCCACAGAGGGCCCTTCCAACCCCCAACATTCTGGGATTCTGTGATTTTAAATAAATGGCAGTAAAATTTTTTATGCTCATGGATATTCCTCTTTCTGAGGTGACACAGGCACACCGCCACCTAATTTCTCCATCCTTTGGTACTAGGAATACCTCCACCCTTGGACAGAACTGCAGGGCAGAAGCCCGAAAGCAAAGCCCTGAGTAGGGTACAGGAACATGTTAGAATCGGGTGTCCTGCCCAAGGCAACCGCGTAAGGAGCTCCCTGCCTCTGCTTCTCAGTCCGGTCCTTTCCCCAAAGTCTTTTCACATGGTTAGGTGTGTCACGAACTGGAGAATTTGAGGGAATGACTGGTTTTGAAGGAGGAACTCTGCTCAGATCAGTGGGCATAAAAAAAAAGTCTAAGGAAATATAAACAAGCTAAAAATATTTGAAAATTACACTCGGCGGCAGCTCTATTTCTTTCTTCAGAGACTGGCATGACTATCTGCAAGGATGGATACTCCACAACCTTGCTGGGCAACCTGCTCCAGGGCTTGATGACCCTCACAGGAAAAAAAAACAACTTTCCTGCGTCTGGATGGAATTTAATGTGTTTTAAATTGTGTCCATTGCCTCTTGCCCTGTGCCTGGGTGCTCCTGAGAAGAGTCTGCCTCCCTCTTTCATTCCTTCCTTTTGGGTATTCACAGACTCCCAGCGTGGCAGGGGTTGGAAGGGACCTCTGGGGGTCACCCAGCCCAACCCCCTGCCCAAGCAGGGTCACCCACAGCAGGCTGCACAGCACCGCGGCCAGGCGGG